TCAGCTGTATAAACATAACATATACAAGTGTTTCTTTGTAACGGGGTGGGATGGAAGTAGTAGCAAAATCAACTCTCTAATCTCCGCAGGGTGATGGCTGGTAATTACTATGTGCTCTAATCAGCAGTCCCCAACCTTTTTGGCACCAGGGACGGTGCTCCTATGAGAACCTAATGCCTAATGATCTGAGGTGGAGCTGAGGCGGTGATGCTAGCGCTGGGAAGCAGCTGCAAATACAGATGAAGCTTTGCTTGCTCGCCTGCCGCTTGCCTGCTGTGCAGCCTGAGGTGGGTGGTGGAGAACCCCTGCTCTAAATAATGTCAATGCAAACTAAGCCTTTTTTAAGCCTATATTTTACTTTTCTTGCTGCAAAATAATAACTTGTAGCACAAAGAAGCAAACCTCTTCTAGAAACAAGATTTCCCATCCCTTGCTTGTAGTTCCCAAAGTTCTGACACCTACACTCTTGGCCAAAAAGTGCTTTTTCTCTCAGAAAAAAAAAAAAGAGGGTAACTGGGAAAAATTGAGCACTTTGAATTTAAATAATAATTATAATGATTGAAAAAAGTTTTTGTGTTTACACAAAGATAGTGTTACAAAGATTATTATTTTATACTATATATTATTATGTACATATATTATGTATATATAATATGTAATACATTATTTTATATATTATATATTATAGAGTATTATTTATAGGGAAAATATGGAAGCAAAGTAAATGCCCAAAGACAGAGGCTTATTTAAATAAATTATGGTATGTCCTTATACAACTACATTAATGATGTATGGAAGAATATTTAAAGATATAGGAAGATAGTCAGTATAATTTAAATGAAAAATATAAGTTAAAATAGCATATACTGCATGATCCATTAAAAAATATGTATTATACTAGGTGTGTGTGTGTATATATACATATACACGTACATATATATGTAGAGAGAAAAAGAGGGAGAGAGAGAGAGAGGGAGAGGTAGAGAGAGACACACACACACACAGAGGGCTAATTACGTATATGATAGAAGAAGAAAAACTAAAAGAAATATCACCAATATGTCAACAGTGGTGGTGAGATTATGGGGGGTTATTTTCTTTTTCCCTCTTAATTCTTTATTTTCTAAATTTTGTAAAAATAAACATGTATTTTTATGAAAAAGAAGTTATTAAAAGTATAATATGGGTTTTATATAATTATATTGCTATAAATAAAGCAAGTAAATTTTAAAGTTCAACTGTTGACTTTGCCTAAGATACACTAAAATTATTTAAACAATTTTTATTTAGGCAAACAAAAACAAGTTGTACAAAAACAGTGAGAAATAACTACCTATAAAAAATATTATGTAGAACTTTGGGGGACAATTTCCTTTCAACCTAAGCCACAAATTTTTCAAATCTAAAGGTTAGCAAACTGAAGTTCATTCATATACTCAGGGAGTACTTTCTGAGTTTTTTACCATGTATAAATACCTGTCCTCAGTTGTTTGGAGGATTAAAGTGCATGTTTCTTGTACTCGAGGTGCTTACAGACTGCTTGGAGAGAGATCAAACATTCATGAATCCTCCAGACAACAAAGCCCTAAAAATGAGAACAGAGAACAGGGTGTTATAGAAAGCAAATGCTAGTGAGGTGAAGGTTATCAAAATTCTACTCATCCTTTAAGGTTCAAAAGGCTCCTCTTCCTGAAGGTGCCTCTTGTTAAGCAATACTTTCTAGAAGTAAATTATCCTATCTCTTGGGTGAGGACTCCAGTTAACATCTAGCACAGATTAATCCTTAGTGAGTGTCAAAGTGTCCTTCCTTTGTCCTGACCTTTGTTGCATTCATTTGGGTCCTGAGTGGCCTTCAAAGGCAAGTTTATTTTTTGGAACTCCAGACCATGCTCATCTTGGAAGGAATGAGGAAGGAGAGGGTGGAGCTGGAAAATAACACAGTCTAAATTAACTACTTGCAATAGGTGTGGGAATATGGAAAGAAGGGCTGCCCTCAGACTGTGAACAAGTAGCAGCCACCCACCCTGTCCTTTCCAAACTGGGGTCGAATGACACTCTGTTCTTCCAATCCTTACTTCTAAGTGGAGGATTATCAATGAGAATATTCACAAGTATTGAAAGCAGCAGGGTATGATTGGGAAAAAATGCTGAACTGAGAGCCCTGAGACCTACCTTAGTCCCAGGTAGCTCTGCCTCTAACTAGCTTCCCCTTGGGCCTCAGTTTCCTCATCTATCAGATGAAGGGTTTGAACTGTTCAATACCCAAAGCCTACAGCTCCCTATAAATGAGAAACCACAAGGTTACTGTGATTATATGTTGGAATTATTCCCCAGCCATGAGTCATCTGTCAATCTCTGATCTTGCAAATACGAATTCCTCCCTAGTGATGGAAATCGAACTTATGGGAAGGTTGTACACACCGACTGTTTGTGTGCAGTACTTTCTGGGAAATTGAGGCAAAGGAAATGGCTCCTAAATCACTCCTGGGATAGAAATGAAAAACAAGACAGGCTATGACATCAGCTACCATTTCCTCTGTGATCAGACTAAATAATACAAATATCAATATTAAATTATGCACGCATACTTTTTATTTTTGCCTTTCATAGCAAATCACAGGGAATCCTTTGCTTTTAGCCTTTAGTGCAAGTTTATGAAGGAAGAACAAGAAAATTGAATACATAATTTCAGGATTTTAGAGCGGCAAGTGATTTTAAAGATTAGACCCAATCCCTCATCATTCCAATAAGGAAAAATGAGGAGTCCAAGATATGAAACAGCTTGCTCCCGTGTTAACTTCCGGAAGTATGTTTTCTCAATTTGCCTTACCTAAACCTATGGTGGTAACTGGACAATACCACAGACTACATGCCAAAAAAAAAGGACAAAGACAAAGACAAAGAAAAGAGCCTAACCTCTTTTAATGAGTTTCCTCTATTTCAACTGGAGCAGCCATGCAAGGGGAAGACAGAGCTCATCAGGAAGAAAATTTCTGTGACAGGAACAGTTCACCCTCCTAGACTCTAGAACCCTATCACCTATCAACTAAACAAGTGCTGTTTTAGCATTGGATGAATAAAATTCAAATGCTAATCTGTTCTTTTTACCGGGAAACATGATTTTTTGCTAATTTCTCACCTCTTTGGTTTCTGGTTAATCCAAACGTGACACTCAAAAGCATCTCAGTAAAGAAAAAAATTGGTAGTTCTATATGAGAGCTGTTTATCTAAACTTGGTCAGCATTAGAGACCTAAGTTACTAGGATCACATAAGAACTCATTCCTTGCCAATCCAGTTTGCCTCACTATTCAGATGGATGAGATATGCCTTGTTGTTACATTCTTCCTACCATGGAAAACACACATACTGGCTGTTTTGATATCTGACCACATTTGATAATATTTTGATATCTACTATATACTCAGGACCAGAATATCCTAGAATTCAAAACACATAGATAATTAGAACTGAAAGGGAGTCTTAAGAGTATTCAATCATATCTCCTTCCTTTACAACTAAAGAAAAAGAGTTGCAGAGACTTGTCCCTCATCATATGGCTGGATAGTGGCAGTGACAGATCTAGAGGCCACGTCACCAGTCTTCCTGTCTAGGTTGTTTCCACAGCTGCTGCTGCTTTCCAGGATCAGTGCAGGCTTTCTAAACACCCTCAAAGGGCTTGATGGAGGCTATTCCTTGGGTGTCAGCCCCTCTCATTCCAAAGCTGCCTCTGCTCTTCTACTGCATGAATTATAGATACAAGAGGTTACTAAAGCCTGAAAACACAAATGAGTTCCCTTTCTTGTCCCAATGTCTTACATTGTGTCAATGAAGTGGGTGGATGACAATGCTTATAGTTATCAGCTGCTCCCATAGTAAATTACCATTCCAATTTTTCCAAATCCATTGTTGTTAGGTAATGCACAGTCAAGAAGGAACATTCTGGTTTTGAATTATGTGAGCAGTTCAGTCATCTCATTCATGTCTAAGAATTATATATCGCTAGTGGGCATGCATAATTTGGGGCAGCACTGTTCTGATGATTCTGCAACAGGAAATCTGGTTTCGTTAAACTCCTATGTTCTGACTCCGGTGATGCCCATCCAGGCAGGCAGTAACTGTTAAAGATTAGCAGAGAAGCAGTAGGGTACAGGGGAAAGAGATTTCAATATGACATTATAATATCTGCATTAGAACCCTGCCTCTGACCATCACTAGCAGAATGACTTTAAGAAGTGCACTTGGTTCTAAGCATCATTCTCATCTGTAAAATGCTGAACTGATTTGAACTTGCTTTATATATACTGTATTACTGGGCAAATTTAATTTGTAAGGATAAGAAATGAGAATACAGCAAGAATATGGAAAATGTTAAAAACAAAAACTCTTGCCTTTGGGGTCCCACAGACTTAATTAGGTATAAAACCCTGCTCTGCATTTACTAGTTGTGTAATCTTGAACAAATTTCATCATCTTCGTCTTTTTAACTTTTCACGAAAAATTTCAAACACACTTAAAAAAGATAGACTAGAATAATTAAAATGATGTACTAATCATTAGCTTAAGCGATTTTCAGTATTTTGCTAATATCATTTCAGCTCTCTTCCTCAAATTTTTCTCCCTGAGGTATTTTAAAGCACTTTAGGGCAAGTTGCTGTGATAAAGATTTCTGTTCTTCAATTTTCTCTTCTAGGAAATGAAGATTACAACATCTAATTCATAGGGTAGAACTGTACTGAGTACTCCATAAATGTTAGCTATTATCACTGTTTTTGGTGGTACCTGTGTGCACTGCCCCCTCCGGGCGTTCAAGCACTTGGCAGCGTAGCGCGCCCGGCTCCAGACAGTCGTTATTAAATGAACAGCCTAAGGGAACCCGAATCCTGCGTTGCTAGGATCACGGTCGCCCCCTTGAGGCAGCCCTCTTCATAACAGCACGGTCAGGACAAGGATTGTCCCTCGCAGCTTCCGTCGCCGCGCGCGAAAATGAGGGGCGGGAACAGGAAACAGGGTTGAGCCCAGTTCCGGGCGCGAGGCGGCCGCTGAGAAGAGCAGAACGCGGCTGCTGGAAGCCGGTGAGGCAGAGCCGCGATGTTCCGTATCGAGGGCCTCGCGCCGAAGCTGGACCCCGAGGAAATGAAACGGAAGATGCGCGAGGACGTGATCTCTTCCATACGGAACTTCCTCATCTACGTGGCCCTGCTGCGAGTCAGTGAGTGTCCTTCCAGGCGGTGGCCATGAGACCAGCATGGAGCTCGCCAACACCGCCCACTCAACACTACAGGCCTTTGGGGGCCCCTGGCCGAGGTTGAGCTGTCACAGGGATCAAGGGACTGGCGCGTCGAGGGCAGCGGGCGCATGCGCGGCTTGGGGTCGGGGGGGATACTGAAATACGTGCGGTGGCCGGGATTGCGTGGTTAATCCAGCCTGGCCCTGCCTTAAGAGCGTTTAAATTAAAAGAGCCTCAAGGGTTATAACCCTGAGCAACTCCCTCGTTTTGCAGACAGACAAATTGAGAGCTAGAGTAGAGAAGTGGCTGGCTCAAGGTCATTCAGCAGTTCAGTAAATGATCTTGACCAGGAATCCAGACCTCTTAATATTAGGTTTCCTTCAGTGATAACCTTTGATATCCAAAATATTTGCTTTTTTTGTTTATTTGTATAGTGGATAGAGCAAATAATTGCTTTTGGGGGGAAGAATAAGAAAAGGATATGAGTCCATAGGATTTAATAATAATAACAGTTTATTTTATTTTACATTTGGCATTACTTGGTCTTGACGGTAGCCCTTTGAGGGAGGCAGGGGCTGAGATGCCGCATATCCTTTTTGTTAATGACAGCTCGACATTCAAAGGGGACTTATGCAAGATATGAGAGTTGCAGACACACTGAATAGTAGAGCTGGAAGCAGCTTTGTAGATGACGTTTCTACTTTTAGATATGATTCCCGCCCCTCCACCCCCCGGTCTTATTCTCAGGTCAGTACTCCTTTTCATTCCTCCTTGGCAGGTCTGGATGGAGAGGCAGGGAGGATTCAAATAAATGAAGGCCATACCAAGGTCATCTTGTAGAAGTCTCATACTGGGCCTAGGGCAGAGCTCACTGAGGCCCAGTTGGCTTTAGTCCGTGCCCTTTCACTGTCCATGGTATTACTCTGCTAACTCGGGAGAGAGAGCCCTGGTGAACAGAAACTCCCAAATCATTCTGCTCCTTCAACAGCTTTTGGCAATTCCCACTTGTTTCTTTCTCTTACCATTTTTTTTATTGACTTAGCTGCCAGCAAAATATTTGCTGCTGCTCAGTCATCTTTATATTTTATATGAATTGTTTTTTTAAACATACAGAATACTGTTTGATATTATCACTTTTTAAATTTGATATACAGTTCACGCATTTAAAATGTACACTTCAGTGGTTCCTAGTATAGTCAAGAGCTGTGCAACCGTCACCACAGTCTACTTGGAACATTTTGTTTCCCTTTAAAAGAAACACCATGCCCATTAGCTGTCATACCCCATTTAACCCAGCCACTACTTTTTGTCTTTATGGACTTGCCTATTCTGGACATTTCATATAAATGGATTTGTGCAATATATGACCTTTTGTGTCTAGCTTATTTCACTTCACATGTTTTTTAGGGTCATCCATATTGTAGCATATATTATTATTTCTTTTTCATTGCTGAATAATAATCCATTGTATGAGTATACCACATTTTGTTTATCCATTCATTTGGTGGATTTTTTTTTTTCGGATAAGAATCTGAGAAAACTGGACATACTGCTAACTTTACTTTGTTAGCCTCTGACAGATCTCCATATCTTCAGTTTAATTTTAACAAAATGTTTGATTAATTTAGTAGGAGTATTGAGAAAAGATTCTGACAGCTTTTCGGTATAGCTCTCCTGCCCCCCTCCCCCAATTTTTAAAATTGTGGTAAAAAAACACAAAATTTACCATCTTAACTATTTTGAAGTGTACAGTGTAGTGGTATTAAATACTTGAATAATGTTGTGCAGCCATCACCACCATTCATCTCTTTTTATCTTGTAAAAATGAAACTCTGTACTCACTAAACAATAATTCCCCATTTCCTCATCCTCCCAGCTCCTGGCAACTGCCATTCTACTTTCAGTCTTTATGATTTTGACTACTTTTAAGTACCCCGTATTGGTAGGATCATACAGTATTTGTCTTTTTGTAACTGGTTTATTTCACTTAGCATGGTGTCCTGAGGTTCATCCATGTTGTAGCATATGTCAGAATTTCCTTTTTAAGGCTGAATGATATTCCATTGTATACCACATTTTGCTTATCTGTTCATCCGTCTCGGACAGTTGGGTTGCTTCTACGTTTTAGCTACTGTGAATAATGCTCCTGTGAATATTGATGTACAAATATCTCTTTAATTTTTTGAGGAACCACTATTCCGTGTTCCATAGCTGCTGTGCCATTTTACATTCCCACCAACAGTGCACACAATTTCTCCACATCTTTGCCAACATTTTTTTTTTTTTTTATAGTAGCCATCCCAGTAGGTGTGTGGTGGTATCTCATTGTTTTAATTTTCATTGCCCTGATGATTAGTGATGTTGAGCATCTTTTCATGTGCTTATTTTGGCTATAGCGCTTTTACATGGGACAATAATATCACTTCTTTAGATCCCAGGACAATACTTTCTAGTTTTCTAGACGTTTTTATCTACATCATCCTAACAAGCCCCTACACTAACTGAAGGACTGTACCATATGTGATCTGGAGTACGTTAAGTGATATAGAACTAATAAGTGGGGGAATCAAAATGTGAGTCTGGCTCTTCTAAGTCCCCAGTTTAGTGTTGTGTCCCCACCCCTTCTCTCTGCCTTCTTTCAAATGCATTTTTAAAGGTAAAAAATGCCAGTTTTTTTCTTTTAGAATTTTGTGCCTTTGACAGTTATATCACTCGAGTAAAGGATTGTCATTTGAAAGAGATTTGGATTTACTCTTTATGGCCCTAAGAGGTAGAACTACCTGGAGAAAAGATTTCATATAGTGTATGAATGAACTTCATAATAGTCAGCTACATGACACTGGAATGGGCTTCCTGGAAAGACAGCGAGTCCTTTTGGCAGAGGCTTGGCTACTACTTACGGTGGTATTCAGAACTATTTTGAACTAAAACGGTAGGGTTTATCCCCTAATCTTATAATTCTGTAATGTCACTTGTGGGCTAGTCTGAAAACAAATCCTGGGTTTGTTTATTTTTCTTACAGCTCCTTTTATCTTAAAGAAATTGGACAGCATATAAAGATTGGACATCATATGTGAATGCATGATATGAAGAACCTGGTTACAGTTTCTACTCTGCAAATGAATCTACAAATTAATAGGCCCAGAAAGATGTAAGAGACTCTGAATGGACGTAAAACTTCTACTTGTTAAGAGCAAGTTTGGCTCTGGTGACTGACTTTCATAGCTAACAATATAAAACTATTTGGGAAGTATGAAAGATGTTTTGTGGCCATAGTATGCCCTTCTACCTGTGATATTCAGCCTCCATGAATGTTAGTGTCATTGTAAATAATGTCAAATTCCATTTTCTAGCAAGTATGAATTATATAAGGGAATTATGTCTGCAATGGCACTGTCTTGTCATTTCTATTTGCCTTTTTACTTCTATCTGGAGTATATTTGGTGACAAGCTCCTTATGATTAGTTCTGTTTTAAGGAAGCCAGCACACAACCACAACATTTAAGCATAGGACTATTCTATATTTTTAATAAATGTACCAATTAAGAAAAAAAAATTTTTTTTTTCTGTTTAATCTGCTTTTTGCTGTAAGCCAACAGTCACTGCTAAGACTACTATAGTGTGATTATTACAACTACATGAAATTAAGTTCTTGTTTTTGACTGGAGAATTTGCTAATCCTGATAAAGTGACATTGTTTTATTGTTAAGTAGTCTTTATGAAAGACAATGTTACTGCTTGGTGCTGTAACTTTGTAATACAAAGGAAAAACAATATATTTTTAAATCACACAGTTCTCCAGGTTTGTTAGGAAAGGGAACAGTCCTTAACCTTCCCAGAGGCAACACAACTACATTCACCTCTTTTTAGCTAATTATTTTGGTATTTACCTTGTGTCTTTAAATAACATGATTGTGTTACTTTATGATTTTTCTGTTTTAGACATTGCCTACTGACTTCTATGTACATAAAGATTTAGGTCCCTTTCTTTACCTCCATTACTTGCACATCTCATTTCTTCTTCCGTTGTACTTCTTGGTGTGGTTTTGATTAGATCAATTTCATTAGGACTCCAGATGCTATTTCGTTTCCTGTACATCTTTTTGTTTTTCCTAGGCTTAGTTTTCTATGAACTTAACCACTAAATCAACTAAACTTTTTGCCATTTATTATCTAAATTGTTCACAATGTTCAGTTTCATTAGATATGCTCTTTCATCTTACTGAATAAGCCTTTTCTAGAGCTTTCTGATCTGTTCTATGCCTGATGTATGATTATTTTCTGGGATTTCCCTTCACCATTATCCTTGGAATTCCTTTTCTTCTCTCATGTTGGATCTTGTGACCAGTGTGGATTTGTTCACTCAATCTCTGTATTGAGTACAGTACCCCTTCCCATAATTGCCTGGTATCCCACAATCCAGATAATCCTCTATTTTACCCTTCTCAGAAAAACAAACTTATTTGGGGAGATGAGGCTGCCTAGCGATGTAGAGTTGCAGAGAGCATCCACCTACTTAAACCTTCAACCAATTCCTATTTTAGTGTCTACCCTTTCACCTCCTACTTCTACAGGTACATGAAGCCACCAGTTCTGGAGCCTGTTAGGGATTCTGTGTTGTAAATTGGATTGTTTTGCTTTTCCTATTGTTGACTCAGGATTCAGTTTTCTTGGGTCTACAGTGTTATTTACTAGTTCATCTGCTTTCCAACTTCTAACTTTTTGTTGCTGATGTCGCTCCTTTGTCTTCTATCCTTTTGGGTTTATACCTTAAAACAGACAAAGATCTTTGCTGTCAATTAATGGAATTTCAAGATGGAGTGGAAATAGATGCATGTGCTCAATCCACCATCTTTACCCAGACAGTATGTATTTTAACCTTGTGATGCTGTCTTTTGTGTTGGCAATTTATATCCATTCCTGACTTAAAGAGGTGCAGTGCATCATGGTCTAAAGACAGGCAGACTCGATTTTGAGTCCTGGCTCTAACATATGAAATGGATGGCTTTTAGCAACTGAACCACTAAATGTCATTTTCTTCACCTGTGAAATTAGCATAATAGAAATATCTGTCTATTTCAAAGTGTTATAAAGGTGAAATGAGAGAATGCAAGTAGAGCAGTTAGTGCAGTGCCTGACATTTGGTAAATGCTAGTTACTACTGATAGTTAGTCTTTGAGAGAAGATGTTAGGAGTGATTTGTGCTGGCATTCACTGCATTAATAGGTTTCATTCATATCTCCAGATGCTGTGAAATAGCATGGTTTATCCTCTAATTGTATAAAGGTTTCAAATAACCAAACATTTAAATTAATTATCTGAAAACAGCTTTAAAAAGTCGATATTAGTGCCATTTTACAGATCGGGATTTTGAGACTCTGGAAGTTTCAGTGGCTAATAAATAGCTAGCCAAGGCTAGGGAACTTTTAATGTTTGTTTTGTACCCTATCCTTAAGTGCTTTTCTCCAGTACTAATACGTTAGCCCACCAAGCTCTATAGTATGTTCACCCTACCACATAGTTTCAGTGCTTCACCTCCCTCATCTCATTTTAGATTCCATTAGCCATCATTGGAATCATTCTTGCATATACACCTTCAACCCTCTTCCCTCATTAGCTTCATTGTACTTCTCCTGCAAAACCCAACTGTGGTTAAATCTAACTCTGCCTGCTCTGCCTGCTCTGCCTGTCCTGTGCAATTGAAAGTGGTTGGAATAAAAACAATCCTGCAGATAGGATCACCTTGGAAAATAATTGTTAACCTCAGCTGGGTCCTGCAGGACCACTACGTTTCCAGGTCATTCTATACTAGGCATATATTTCATACCTTCTCTTCAAACCTCCAGTATCTCCTCTCTCATCTTCAAGCTTGGCTGATGTTGCTTTGCACTTCCCTGAGAAAATAGAAGCATCCGAATGAAAGCGTCCATAAACTTATCCGTACCTAACCACACGCCAACATTTGTAGTCTACTTCCTGTGCTCTTATTTAAGGATAGTCCTGACCTATATGCACTCAGTTCCCCACCCCCCAATAATTACCCAAAGATCTTGCTCCAACAATTTTCCCTCTTTATCAAATTTTCTTTCTTTGTTGGATCATTTCCAGTAACATACAAAGGGCTGTGATTTCTTCTGTCTTAAAAAGAATTTTTTTAAGCCCTTTTGCCAGTCTGTCCCCTGGAGAAAATGCTGAGATTTGGTGCAGGAGGTTTTAGAGGCAGTATTTTTGGGAAAAACACTTTAGAGAGCAAGTAAAACAGTTTGGGCAGGGGGAGAAATTGAACTGTGATACAGTTGCAACTAGGGTGACCAACTATCCAAGGACTGTCCCAGTTTTAACACTGAAACTCCTGTATCCCAGGAAGCCTCTCAGTCCTGGGCAAACCAGAATGGTCGGTCACCCTAGCTGCAACAGCAGCTTTAGTTAATCCCACAGGTATCTTTGGTGCTGGGATGGCCTTTCAAAGAAGTTCTGAATCAAGACGAGAGCAGAGCCTTTGAACTGCTGCATCAGATTGTCTTTGGTTGTAGACTGTGGGATGTGGGGGTGGTATATAACTATTGGAGGCATTTCCTTCAGCTGAGGGCAATTTCTGGGAGGGATACAGCAGTGAGATGTCAGCAGCCAACACTCCTAGCTGCTGAGGGAATGAGTACCTTGGTGCTAAAGTTGAGATCTGGGTGGTTCACTGCACCATCCATCATAATCCTCTTGAATCATCACCCTTCCATCTACAATCCCATTTCTCTGCTCTCTTTTAAGATAAATGCCTCAGTAAGGTTGCCTGTATTTTCATTTCCTTTATCCCATTATCTTTTGAACCTGCTCTAGTTAGGCTTATATTCCCACCAGTCTTCTGAAACTGCTTTTGTCAAGGTTAACATTGACCTGACTTACTCTATCAGCATCACTTAACACACTGCCTCATTTTTGTAACCACCTGTGGGCCTTCTATAATGTGAATTTCCTAATTTTGCTCTTATGCACCCTTTCTATTGCACTTAGCCACCCTTCTTCAGATTTTTTTGCTGCTTCCTCTTCATCTCTAACCTCTGAAACTTGCAGTACCCTAGCTTCACCCCTCAGACCTCTTTTCAGTGCAGATTCTTTACTACTTCGGTGATTTCATCTGGACTCTTGGCTTTAAGTGCCGTTTATGGGCTGAGAACTCCCAAATTTATATTTCTAGCCTATACCTCTCCCCTTAATTTCAAACTTGTCCAAAAACAAACACCTAAACTTCCCCCTTCATGAAACCTACTCTCTCAGTCTTAGAAGATAATTCCATCTTTCCAGTTGTCTTGACTCCTCACTTTCACATCCCACACCAGTCCTTCAGAAAAACATGTTGGCCCTACTTTTGAATTATAATCAAAACCTGACTTCACCAGCTTCATTACCACCATGCTGGCCCAGTCCACCATCTCTCTTCTGAGTTACTGCAACAGTCTCCTAATAAGGCTTCCTACTTCCATCCTGACCCCTCTAAGACTGTTCTCAACACAGCTATCAGAATGGTCCTCTTAAAATTTAAGCCAGAACATGTCACTCCTGCTCCAAACCCTCCTGTGGCTTCCTGTCTCAGGGTAAAAGCCACTGTCCTTCTGATTGCCCACAGAGTTCTGTACAATCTGGTCCTCATCACTTCTCTGACTTCATCTTTTATGACTCCAGTCTCTCACTGTACTCCGGCTACACTGGCCTTATTGCTTCCTCAGACAAACTAGATATGCTACTGCCTCGAGGCTTTTGTACTGTTCCTTCTGCCTGGAATGCTCTTCCCTTAGATTCTCAAGGGCCTCACTCCTCTCGTTGAGGCCTCTGCTTAAATGTCATTTTTCCAGTGAGGCCTTTCCCAATGCCTTTATAGGATGTTTCAATTTGTGAAAATGCAGCAAGTCATACTCTTATGATATTGTGCATTTTTCTCTAGTTGCATTATAGTTCAATAATTTTATTTTATTTTTTTAATTACAACCTCTTCAGTACTCCATATCCCCCTTCTTTATTTTTCTTCCTGGCCCTTATTTAATAGTTTATTTTGTTAATTGTCTGTCTCCCTTCATTAACTATATACTTAATGAGGGCAGAGATTTTGTCTGTTGTGTTCACTGTACAATACCAGTACCTAGAACAGTGCCTTGCCCCAGTGGGTACTCAGTATTCATTGAATTATAGAATTAGTGAAATTTTTAACTATTTGTGGGAACTGTGAGAGCCAGAAAAAGGTAAAGATTATCAGACGATATTAGTATCCCAATTAAACAGTGATCACGAATTTTCAGTCTCTGGATGTGGGCTTTGTCTCCAGCACTGCTCTGCTGCCCAGAGGCAGGCTGGGAGAAGGTGGAGAGTTGTTCATCCAGGAGTGGGGCTTGCCACATAGATAAGGTGAAATGGCAGGGCCACTGAATGACTGAAATAATGTATAAGGCATCCAAACGGGATAAGGAGGAACGGGCAGGAGGGAGCTGATGGACAGGAAGAAAATAGAGGAGTCAGTCTGGCTGAGGGCAACTGCAGGAGTTGGAGCAGTGGAACAACAGCCTTGAAGATCTTTATGCCCAAAATATCTTCCCTTCCCTTTCAGTGGAGACGAAAGTCCCTGTTTTTAAAAAGAGAATTCATTCTCTCCTCCGATTTATGTGTTCATTTATGAAGAAAGAAAATTGCTAAGTGCAAATATGTTCATGATGCCAAGAGACTGAAGACTAATTTTATGGGACAGTATAGAAACAATATGAGTCTACTGCTGGATATGTTATAGCAGTGAGAGCTTATATGATGCCTTTCTTCCCAGAATTCAGATTGCATTGCCTTGTATCATTTGAGCTGTTGAGAGAGGCAATATATCAGATAATATAAAATTATAAAGATAAAAATGTGGTAGATAAGAATTAAAACAAGGAATGTAGGAAAATGATCAAACGAATTGCTCATCTTAAAATCATTAGTAAAATACAGCTTTTATATGTTTTCATTGTACTTTGTGTAAAATTTATAAGGTTACTATTGAATCTTTACATCTATAAAATTTTAAATAATGCAATTTTCATAATAACTATTGTTTTCATTAGTTTCAAGCAACTTAACAAAAGACAAAGAATCTTTACTGAACATGAAAGTGTAAGTAAAACTTAAATCTACTGAACCTAAAAAAATCTGAAATTACTATTAGCTTAATGAGTATGTTACATAAGGCTGTGTCAAGCATCATGTGCAGAGGCGCTTTCCAAAACAAACTGCACACCAAATCACATGGAATCTTTAAACAAAAGACCTACTGAACCAGAATTGCTATGGATTGAGCCCAGGAATCTTTTTTCAGAAGCATTCAGGTGATTTAATTGGCCCAGGACCTGCTTTGGGTAACTAGTAAGTGAATTTACCTTAAGGTCCCTTTCAGTTCTGAAATTCTGGACTGGTTTAGGAAGAAGAATCAAATTAAACTAAATGAAAGCAATTTTAGATTGCATTAATAAAATTACAACATTATAGTCTCCAGGTCTGACAGATGCTTTAAGAGTAACCAACTTGCCAGAGTAGAGTTTGGTAGTTAGGGTACTGAAAGTATCTGGAAACCATGTTACTAGAGAAATAATTTTAAAAAATTAAAGGTTAGCTTAGCCTTGAGAAGACCTATAGTAGGAGTCAGAGCTGCTTTTAAAAACTAAAAGGGTTGTCTTGTCAAAGAAAAATTGTCCCAGAAGGCAGATAAGTGTTTAGAAAGCTAAGAAGGAAGATTCCTTCTTAAACACAACTACTGTGACCAAGATGGACTGGGTTTTGGAAGAGGCTGGAATAAGTTCGTTAAGCAGAATCTGAAAATGGATACTCTGAAGCAGGGATTGCCACTTG